TAGATGCAGGCACTGTTCTGGGCATATAGTTTGTTCGTCTGATTTCCTCCTTTGGAGACACAGTCTCACCGTGTAGTTCAGGCTAACCTCAAACTCATGCCAAACCTCATGCTTCAGCCTCCCAAGTGCTAGGATTACAGGCATGTGCCACCACGCCTGGCAGCAGAGAGTATGAACAAAACAAAGTCCTGTCTTCAAAGAACATATGATGTGTGACTGGAAAAGTACATTTAAAAAAAATTTATTACAACACGACAAAAAACATGTTGCCATTAATCCTTCTCAATATACTCGCCCTCACTCCCAACACACGTATCTACCTTCTGAAGCAGCTCGAGAGTCCTCTTTTGTGAGCGTATTTAGTTGCATTGTCGCAGCTGCCTCCAGGTCCTAAACCGATTCAAAACATTTACCTTTATGGTCATTCCAACTTTGTTAGAAGACCCAGAAGTTGTATGATGTCAGGTTTGGTGAAAAAGGTGGACGAGAACGCGCTATAATGCTTTGGGAGCCCACCTTCCTGCCAGATGACAACTGACAGCAGCAGTCACGTTTTTGATCACATTACATGAGGAGAGGAAGGCAGACTTTCAGAAGTGCTTTAGAAAATGGCAAGAACAATGGCCAAAGTGTATTTGAAACAAGGGGAAGTATTTTGAGGGGGATAATTACAATCTTTTACTGTAATGAATTTTAAATATCTACTATGTATTTTACTACTTGTTCATTGTTATATAGGTGGCCAAACCGTGAATATATCAATGAAACAGTTCAGTTTAGTGCTAGATGCTCTAAAAATAAACAGGGCCACAGACAATGGTCAGAGGGGACAGAGGAAATGTAAGTGACCAATGGTAGTCAGAGAATATAGTAAACCAAAACTAAAGCGAAGATGAGGTCAGAGTGGGAATTACATGAAATGTGATGGAAAAATAGTTCAATCAGTACAAATACTAACTACAACGGCTTTAAAAGGAAATGGGGTCGATGTGCTGCTACAAGGGCATGAGGAAAAGCCAGAA